TCCAAACCCCCCCCCCCCCCCAAAATGCCGATGGGGATGCCGGGAGCCCAGTGCTCCCGTTGGTTGGCTGGCAGCCACCTTGCCATGGCAACATGGAGCAAACACTCCCTGGGTTGCTGGGTACCACAGCCTGGAGAGAAGCTCTCATTTCCCCAGGGAGGAAAGGACAGAGACAGTGACACTGCCAGGGCCTGGGCGCAGCTCCCCAGGCACCAGCCACCCCTGTCTGGAACCAGACTCCTCCAGGTGGCCACCTGCCTGTGCCCCAGGGCCCAACCAAGGCAAGGGCAGTTCGGAAGCAACAGCAATCCCTCTGGGCAGCTGTAAGTAGGGCTGAGCAGAGGCGAGTTACAGAACAAGGGGTCAGTAGAGGGGGACTCACCCAGCTACTCTTTGTCTCAGAAACCCTTTCCAGAACAGCCTGAAGTTTCTCAGTTTCACCCTGCTGGGTCCTGCAGCTCTGAAGACTAACTCTCTTCCAGTGCATTTCTCTTTCTAAAGGTGAAGACAATGGACGAGGGAGAGGAAAACTCCGACAGCAAGGAAAAAGCTCACATTGTCACAGAAAATGAGAGAAGTATGATGGAATATCTTCCAGAGCTGGAGAAAAAAGAGAAAGGTAGCATGCCCGCTCTATTTGTATGTGTTGGGATCTTCCCAGGATTTATCAGCATTTTATCTATTTTAGAAACCGAGAGTGTCATCAAAAATATCCAGTGGATCACAGGCAACAACTTCACAGTGGAGAGAGGACAACAGCAGATTGAAGAATACATTTCTGTGAGTGACAATTCCATCTACTCAGGAAGGTCATGCCTCTCTTAAGGAGCGTGAAAAACTGAAGGAGAGTACCTCACTTCCTTTTTAGCACCTCCCTCAAGTCACCTCCACTAGACAGAGGGAATCTTAGTGCGATGTGTTTGTTCAGCAGACATGGGATGTTCACGTAAGCTGGCTCCACTGGTCAGAATTTCTCAAGGAAGAAGAACTGAAACACAGCAAGAGGTACCACTACAGAGTTTGCTGGAGTGTCCCAACACGCAGAAAACCCATCCCACGAGCAACAGCAAGTGTCTACTTCGTTATAGAGATCTCCAAAATCAAACCTGCTGTAAGTCCTTAGAAATGGCAACTACCAGTCCTTCAAGGGACAAGAGTACAGGGGGGGTTTCCTGAGGCAGGGAGACGCAGGGCAGTGAAGAGACTGGCCAGGAGCTGGCAGCTCTCTCTCGAGACACTCTGCCCTGTCTCTCCTCTTTTGCAGACCTCGCCTGTGGAGGTATTCTACACTCTGGAGTCCTGCAGGCTGATTCACAGGTAAACATTATTACTTTTCCATCACTGACACAACTTGGGAGGTTCTAGCAAGCTTCTCCATGCCAAAAACAAAGAGGGAGTTTGATCTAAGTAAGTTTGGAATAATAGCAGAGTTGGAGGAAGATGTCAAAATCTCGCTACGTAAAACCAAATGACCCTGCTTATCACCAGCTTCACTCCACCACAGGCATGGACAGGCACCCCATGAGCATCTGCCTTCTCCATAATGAATTTGTCTTGGGTTTACACAGGTCTAGTTGGTGGTCTTTTTCTCAGCAGACAGGCATGCCCTGTGAATAAACGCCAGTTCTCAGCTGGCCAAACTTGGTTCAATATTAGTCTTACTATTTACCCTCTTTTATTCCCTCCTCCAGGCCAGGACAGCAACCGTTTAGAGAAAAGTGGCTTAAGGACATAATTGAAAATAAAATAATCCTCATGGAAAGACTGAATTTCTAATGAACAGCTCTGATTCACAACCACCAATGCCACCAATGCTCTGTTAGTATTTAGTAGAGAACAAAATAAACACAATGAAGAAAAAGTGGCTCTTCCTTATTAGCATTTCTGGTTTGCGGATACAGAAAAAGCATGAAATCTGTGCAAAATGAACTATGTCCTGAGCTGGCAGCTGGCTTTACGTGATGGTCCCTTGCAGGGATGGGTGCGTACGGCAGGACGGAACCAGGTTCCAGAGTGTACACGGGAAGAGGCAGCTGGGCTGGACTCGCTGCTTGCAAACACCAGGTCTGCAGAACCCCAGGGCAAACATTATAGGACTTTTATTTTCTTTATACAAACATACAAGAAGACAATCTCTGCTGCCAAAACTACAACACAGAGATTTAGTGGAACAAAAAACCAAAAAACAAACCTCTAAAAAACACTTTGTTTTTAAAAGCATTTGAGAAAAATAAGGGGGTGTATATTTGGAAAGATGCAGTTGAATCAAAGATAGCCACCACAAAAGCACTACCTGGAGTAGGCCTCTGAGTACGGAGTTTAAAGAGAGCTATGTGACACTGCTGAAACATACCAAATTAAAATACCATAGGAGTTAAAATAAGGTTTTAATCTAGAACCCTTCCACAGACAAAAAAAAAATTCAAATAAATTGAAAGATACATCCTTGTTACCACCTGCGTACATGCAGGGGTTCCAACCACTGCACCCCACTGCTCTGATACCTATGTATAACATAGGAGAAAAAGAAGCAAGCAACTTAGTTCTTCCCCACGGGCTTTGGTGGATTGATAATCAGACCCTTCTATTACTATTACTTTACACCCCAATTGCAATCTGCTTGCTTTAAAGTAATTGAAGCCCATCTGTATTAAATTACAAATTTTCTATTTACAAGTCCAGTTTGAACAACAAACGAAAGATCAACTGCTTTGAGAAAAAAATAAAAGACATGAAAAAAAATAAATCTAAGCGGACAGTCTTAAACAGGAACTTAGGAATTCCTTCATTTTTGCTACTGTTACTGGTAGCTTGCTTCTGATGGCCAGTCTACTCTTATTAATCAAAATAAATGGAAAAAAATCTCACTTATCAGCATCAGGTAACGAAGCTCTCCCATGGAATCCTCCTGCTTGTCTGATTCATTGCTACCTCTAATCTTCCCTGCCTGCTCCAGCCTTCCCTGCCTTGTAGCCTTTCACTTTACAGGGATTCCTTTTCAACGGTGAACAAATCCAAAAGTAACTGTTTCCTTGATACAAATAATCCACTCCTGAGGCTTGGCCCTGTTGGGTGAAAGGCACTGCAGCACTTGCAGCTTTTTTCAAATCATGACTGGAACAGATTAGCTGCTGCTTGGTAGTCTCTATGGTGTACAGTTCAAATAAAGAATTATTTTTCCTCTTTGCCTTTAGTCTTCCTGTAGACCATCTCTCGAAAGCTTGCAAGGATCTTATTCTCTCGTTTCCTCCTCTCTTCCTGGTTGAAGGATGCCAGAGCTCTCTTTTCATCTGCGCTGTAAATCTGGTTCTCTTTACGCAGACGCACAGCTTCCATTCGGCGATGTCTGCGGAGGAGAACGTTGTGTACATCAGCACGGGCAGAGGGAGATAATGGCCCCCACACTCCTCCCATCCATCAACTGGCCTGAATGTTTTGAGGGGCTATAAATAAAGACACCTAGAGTAGAGAATCCAAACTGCACACAAGCCTTGCCACGAAGGAGTGTGGCAGAGCAAGGAACTGACTTCTGAGGGTGTCTGCTCTCAGCTGGAAGTACCATCTACCCCCAGGGTGTCAGCTGCTGGCTCACCAAAGTTTAAGTGAAATTCATGTAGGACTCAGAGAAAAAAGTGCAGCCAGCCTCTCACACTTTGATTTCTCTCCTGCCAGCACATCACTGCTGTTGTCCAAACACACCATCTTTGAGCCACCTGACACAAGCATTTCCACATTGGAAACACAAGATCATTAGAAGTATATTACTCGGAAAGAATTTTTGCTCTTGAGGAGAAAGTGTCCTTAAAAAACTCACCATGTATCTCTAGCAATGGGGAGTTTAGTGTAGATTACTGCAAGCACAGAGAGTACCTTCTCTTCCGTGCTTTTAACTAGAGCTCGGAAGCAGTCTTCTGACTGGCCAACAGAGGAAGCAGCTCTTGAAAGCTTCACTGAACCATTACCATCACCAAAACCATACCTGCTGCCACTCATGACATAACCAGAGCTCTCAAACGATGCAATCTCTTCACTGGTCAAGCCGATTTCACCTCTCCGGGGTATACGTTTTCCTGCTTTTACATACTCTGCCATTGCTGCACCTTCACCGGGCAAGAGAGCATGTCCATAGCTTAAAAAAAGCAGTGAGTTTAATCAGTTTCAAATAGAGAGAGCCTGAGCCAAAAATCCAGTTTCCCTGTTTGCTACTTGCTACAGCTGCATTTTTAAGTGCTTTCTTATTCTTTCCCACGTATTGGCCTGTTTCTTCCTTATGGCTAACACTAGCAACAACATCTCAAATTACCAGTTGAATCCATTCTGATTAAACAGTAATGAAGATGCTATGAAGTCACAATACTGCAGAGCATTAGAATAAAGGCGTATCACAATTGATTTTCTAGGAATTGAGGCTAAAAAGCATAAGCCAGCCTTTTCAACCTGAATTCAGGCCAGGGTAAAGGACAGCACCACCACCACTTCTGCCTGTGAGTTTCTGACACAGCACTTCTCTCTGATGCAGGCCTTGTTGTTATAACAGCCCTTTTGAACAGTAACCTTCAGGCTTGATTTACTTGATTTGATCTAAGTGCCGTTAGGGCTGGCTACTCACTTCAAAGGCCTATCATCCTGAGACGCGTGGGTTTTGGGAGCTTCTGGTCCAATCAAGCTATCAGCTTCTGTATTTTCTGCAACAATCAAATAATGAGGAAGATTAATATTGTGCCCATTGTTCTTTGTTATCAGAACAGTTACACAGGTCAGCAACTCCTAACAAAGAACTCAAGAAAAGGACACCAAGAAGTTTTAATCCAATGTTAAAGTCAGGTGAACCTACTTGATCTCTCAATCCAGAGATCTTCCCCTTGAAACGTTTCGTCATCAGAATCTTCACTACTGGAATCACTGGATTCCTTCCTGCTCTTCTTATTTTTCTTTTTCTTATACTTCTTCCTGTGATAAAGTCAAAGACAGACATGGTATTTACCAAAATTTAAGATGAAAGAAAATGTTTGGAATCATACTCAAGTCACTAGTTTCTCAAGGCAACTTCCACCTCCAGGAAGACCAGCTGTTTGCACATAGACTGATCTTGTTTCATAGAAAACATCTCACAGCAAAACAAAGAGTATACATAAGTTGTTATGTCTTTCATATAGCGTTAGAAAGTGGCTCCCTATGTTTGCAGCAAGTCCTCCCCTATGCTGCATGGTTCTGTAGATTCAAAGAAAATCCACCAAATTAAGATTATTCGACAGCATTTATAGCCCTAATTACAAGAGTGCTCAGCCTTTCTTACTGTCTGCTAAGGAAGGGGCGCTGCCCTATAGTCAAAAGCAGGTAGAATTACACACAACAACCTGGAAACTTACTTTCTGTTCTTCTTTTTCTTCTTCTTGCTTTTCTTTTTGTCTTCATCTGAAAAAAAGAAAGTATATATATTATCAAAAAGAGGTAATTAGCTATAAGTAGCTTACTGCACTGTGAAAAACTAACTGCCTCCACCAGCATGCCTTTGCCGTAGTACACAGCTCCTCAGACGTGATTTGTTTAGGTACAAAATAACACTGAGAAAGTCTCAGGAGAAAGCTCCTCCAGCGTGGTTCGATAGAAGAACATATCGACCATATCTCTGGCATGAGATGCCCAATGGATGCTGACTTCAGAAATCCTATTTCTTGAGGCCAGACTACAAGCACTCAAAGAAAAGGCACTGCAAACCCAGCAAGACGGTGAAAGAAAAGAACACCGGACTGATGCTGCAGCTGTATAATTTCAGAACACAGCAAGAACACAACAAAAGCCAGTAGCGTCCCTTTGTGGTCAGAGGAGCAGAAGGAGAGCTCTCCCACCACTCATTAGCCAAACCCCTCTTTTCTTACCACTGGAGTTCTGCTCGGACTCTGACTCGCTGTCGCTGTCTTCTGAATGTTTTCTGCGTTTTCTTTTGGATGCCTTTCGCTTTTTCTTCTTTCTTTTCTTCTTCTTTTTCTTTTTTTCCTCTAGAATGTTTTTAAAACATAACATTAGAGAACAGACTAAGATAACCTCGCTTCACATGTATTTCCTGATCTTCCCAAAGAACTCTCTCCCTGGAACTGCAGCCCACCACACTCACTTCCACCCATCAAAGCCAGTGAACCTCTTGCAAGCAACAACAGCAAATTCTAGAGTTCAGTAGCTTCCCAATTTTGAAATGAGCTACATAAGCACAACAAAATACCTTCTGAGCTGGAATCTGAAGAACTACTCTTAGATTTTGCCTCTTCATCTTCTACCGGTGTATGCTCATCGGAACTGAATGAAAATAAAAGTGTGCTATTTAAAATCTATTCCATAGCATCCAAGATCAAAGGTACACACATTACCAGACACACACTTGCAGATTTTGAGTCAATACTTGCAATAGAATAAAGAATTAAGCAGTTGATTTGTAGCACAGGAACTGCTTTCAGAACCACATCACAAACGTCACCTGATCACCTAAATCATAGCTTGCACAACAGGTATCTGGAATTATCTGGGGTGGGGGGGAGGAGGGGGGAAAGCAAGAATCTTGTTATGTTGATTCAGAAATGAACTGAAACAACATGAACTGTGGCAAAGTGGTAGGGGTAAGACATTTTGTAAATTATGTACGGAATATCATAAAAACCAGAAGGGAAGAAGGAAGAATATTCCTTACTCGGGGTCAGGAACCTTTGGCGACAGCCCCCAGACTTCAGGTGCCCCCAGTTCTCCAATCCTCTCTCTCTCATTGAGCCTCCTGTAACGAAAAACACCTTCACTGAAGCCTCCTGCTGCACCCCCCACACAAACGACTCCACTCTGCTGCCCGTTACCGCTTCTGATCGCCTAGAGCAGCTACAACAAGGAGAAGAACCCACCAGCGGCCCGGGAGGCCGGCAGCAAACGGCGGGTTAACGGCGGGTTAACGGCGGGTAACGGGTGTGAGCCCCCTCCCCGCCGAGCCCCGGCCTG